ATATATAAATATGGCCATGCATGGTGGCTAACCCAGAGATTGAGGCCGGAGGATTGCTTGAGCCCTACTGTTCCACTGTACTCTAGTTTGGGTGACAGACAGAAACCCTGTCTCTAAAAAAGAGAAAAAAGAAATAATGATTTTAGGTGTTTTAAGGGTGTGGTTATGTTAAACAAATCAAAAAACCCTCCAATTATCATATGATAAAGAGAGCACTTCACCTCTGTGATATACTTACCCCAAAACCCATAACTCTGAGGCCAGGCACGGTGGCTCAAGCCTGTAATCCCAGCACTCTGGGAGACCAAGACGGGCGGATCACGAGATTGAAACCATCCTAGCCAATATCGTGAAACCCTGTCTCTACTAAAAATACAAAAATTAGCTGGGTGTGATGGCTCGTGCCTGTAATCCCACCTACTCGGCAGGCTGAGACAAGAGAATCACCTGGACCCGGGAGGCAGAAGTTGCACTGAGCCGAGATCGCACCACTGCACTCCAGTCTGGGCGACAGAACAAGACTCCAGTCTCAAAACAAAACAAAACCATAACTCCAGTCTACCCAAAAGAAAGACAGTAGGCAAATTCAAGTTGAGGGACACTCTACAAAAAAATCTTCCAAAATTGTCAAGGTCATCAAAAACAAGCAAAGTCTGAGAAAAACTCCCAGGTACTATGACTGTCACAGACCAGAGGAGGCTAAAGAGACATGATGACTAAATGTAACATGTTCCTGGATGGGATGCTAAGACAGAAAGGAGGCATTAGTACAAAAAACAGTAAAATTCAGCGAAGTCTGGAGTGTAGTTAATGATAACGTACCAATGTTAGTTTCTTAGTTTTGAAAAACGTATTGTGGCAATGGAAGACGATAATAGAGGACAATGGATGAGGGCTAGGCAGGAATTAATTCTCTACTGTCTTTTGACTTCTGTAAGTCTAAAATTATTCCAAAGTAAAAAAGTTTATTTTTAAAAAGCTAACTAAAGAGTCTTTATTTTTTAAGAGACACCTATTAATAGGTTCAATGAAATGATGGGATGTTTGGGCTTTGCTTCACAATAAATTCATTGATATGAGTTGTGGGGGTTGGGTGTATAGATGAAACAAGGTTGGCTTTAAGTTGGCAACTGCTGAAACTGGATGATGGGTGCATAAGGGTTCACTGACAACTGTCTCCAGATTTATATGCTTGTAAACTTCCATAATAAAAAGTTGACAACAAATAAATAAACAAACATGAACTCTGGAGCCAGACTGACTGGGAAGTTACTTAACCTTCCAGTTAAGTAACTGTTTGTGTGCTGCAGTTTTATTACCCATAAAATGAAGATCATTACATCTGCCTCACAGGGTTGTTGTGAAAACTGAATAAGACAATACACAAAAAGGATGGAATGATGCTTGGCTATCGTCACCATCTTATGAGGAGAAAGAAAGTCACAGACCAACACCCATCATCTTTCTTTACCCTCTGATCCTCCACACCCTCCACCCTCTTCCTCCCCCTGTCCATTTGCACAGGGAGACCCTTGAGGAAGTAAAGAAGAGTTCTGGAGTGACTCCAGGGAATAAGGAAAGACCTTGGTGCCAAATCCTGCAGAAAGTGGTGAGATTAGTTAGGGAACAAGAGTCATGTCCCTGGCATGCGTGCTGGGAATGAACCCTGGATTATCAACCACCTTGAAGCAGGCTTCTGTCAGGCCAGCACAAGGTACTATGAGCACATATTACACAACTATTACATGTCAGGGCAGGACACAGAAATGTAGGATGGGCCCTAAAAGAGCTCGTCAACCCAGTACATATGTGGCCAACCTTTGTGTCTTTAGACTCACCTCCTTAGAGACACTTCAACTCTGGGGTGTCTCAGCACTGATGAATCTTACATTGTTGAACATGCCCCCACTTGGCTGCAATTTTATAAGATCCCTCAGGGAGAATTTGGAAAAAAAGTTGGCCCACCTCCCCAATCACAATCTTACGAGTCAATTTAATTCAACTCTGCAAAGCCCTACTGAACTGTCTCCAAGATATTCACGTATACATACAACAAATTTTCATTAAGCACCTCTTAACTGCCAGGCACTGTGCTGAGCCTTGGGAGAGTCAACATGGAGTGAAGGCAGGCACAGCCCTCACTTCCACAAAGTCCATAGTTGAAAGGGAGACATAAATGGCAAGGAAATAATCATCACAAATCAATGTATACACCGAGATAGGTGCTTGGCAGTAAGGGAACAGTAAAAAATTCAACCTGGGAGTGGCAGGAGGCTTCTCCAAGAAAGTGGTGCTTCATGGATAGATACACCAGGGATAAGGAAGAGTGGTTACAAGAGTTGGGACAGAGGAAAAGGTGATGTTCCAAGCAGACAGCCCAGTGGTGGGAGGGAACATGGTGGGTTCAGAGGCTGAAAAGCAGCCAGTGTGATGTGAGAGAGGGTGCAAGGTGTGGGTGGGTGGGTGGAGGGTGTGATTTAAGCAAGTAGTAGTCAGTGGGGTGGGCCATGCACACTTTCGGGGCCCCTTCAGAAGTGAGGTCTTTAGCTTAAAACCAGGGGAAGCCATTGGAGGGTATTTAAATGTGCAAGGGGGTGGGGAGTCCCTTGATCAGATCTCTATTGTTGGGACACTGCCTTGCAGAAGGAGGAGGCGCTGGAAGAGGGCCAGAATGGAAGCAGGAAGACCTGTTGCAAGACTACTGCAGTGGCCCAGGAAACAGACGATGAGAGCTTGGTCCAGGATTCTGGCAGTAGAGGTGGGTGGACTTGAGAGCTGTGTAAGAGGTAAGATCACTGGGTCTCTGGTTCCATTTAGAGGGTGAGGGAGAAGGAAAGAACACAGGTGGCTCCCAGGTTTCTGACTGCATTGATTGGGTGGCAAGTTGGGCTGCTTGCAGAGCCAGGGAGCCATGCGGGAGGAGCAGGTGTGGAGGAAAGAGAAGATCCTTAACATGGATGAATCACATGTAATGTGCTTTATGCAGGTCACTATGATGGAGGAGGGAGCTTCAAAAGTGGATAAAACAAATACTTTTACTGCCTTCAAGAGCGATGCCAAAAAGAAGTACCGCAATGGCTGCAGGAACAAGGTAACCTCAAATGTTTATAGCTCTAGAGCAGTGCTCACAGCAAAGGGCTCAGTCATCTAAGCCACTAAGTCATATTTGATAAATGTCTGTTGGGTAACTTAATGTTCCAAGTGCCACATACAGATAACAGACACCTGAAGAAAAAAAAAAAACCTCACAAAGCTTTTACTCGGCACATTAATATGCCTAACCTGCCTCTAATCAGGGTAAGACAGAGGCAGAGAAGGGCAAGTTCAACCCCTTCTGGCAAGAGGCTGCAGGGGGTTTGAGGAAACCAAGTCATCATACAGCAAACATTTAGAGGACCACAGGGCAGACTGTATGCAGAGCTATGAAGATCCCACTTACGGTGGCCAAAGACGTGTGCTGGCCAAGAGGTGTGCACCCCAACAATCTCACCCTAGATGGCCTCCTACGCTGGAAGGAAGATGCCAGTCTCGCCTTGGATACCTGCATGCTGAGATGGCCTACTTTTAAAAGGAATTAAAGTCCTGTTAAGAAACACTGGGGGCATTTTTTTCAGACGGCTCAGGAGCCAAGTTCCCTAATTATCAGCAAAGCTCGAGGCCCCCTTTTGCTGGAACCTGTCCCCCTTCAACCACCACGATTTGGGGAAAAAAAAAAAAAAAGCCACCGCACCGACCTTTGCACAATTTCCTTTCTTTCTGCAAAGTTCTTTTCTGGCCGCTTCGGCTGCCGCCCACCCCTGGCAATCCCCGGTTCACTTCAGCGGTCTCTCTGTCCGTTTCCTAATAAACTCCGTCGCCTCGGTGCGGGAGGCTTGCGAGCCCGCGGGTCTGGGGCGCGGGAGCCGCCCCTCTCCGGCTCCGGGCCCAGGTAGGCGCCCGGGCTCGGCGTTCCACCCCCGCCTCCGCAGACCAGGACCGAGTCGGCGACGACCCAGCGGAGGTCCCGGAAGGAAAGAACCCCTGTCTCCGTGCACCGAAGAGCACGAGCGGGTCTGCCCAGAGCCAGTGCCCCGCGGTGCGAGGGCCCAGGCGCGGGAGACCTCTGCAGAGGACGCAGCGAGGGAGAGGTGGGGGGGGGCTCCCGAGCCCCTCGAAGAGAGGGCGGCCTCAGGGGATGACACAGCGTTTCCCCCGCACGCCCGGGCTGCATCCCCGCAGGGCAGCGGCCGGCTCGCTGCGTCAGCAAATCCTCAGCCCGCGAGGGGGCGCGGGCACGGGGGTCGCCGGGCCGCCTCTCGCCTCGGCACTCGCCCCCAAACCCGTCGCGCGCGCCGGGCCCGGCTTGGGGGCCAGGGCTGGGGGATGACCGCGGGGCGCGACGCTGCCCGGCGGCTCCGCCAGCAGCTTGAAAGGAACGTCAGTCCCCACCGGAGAAAAAAGTTAGAAGGCATCCCGGCCACGCCAACTTCCCATCCAGGGCCGGACTAGAACTTTGCGCTCCGGGCGGGCAGCTGCACAGCGGGGAGAGACCCTGAGCAGCCGCTCGGAGCGGGGCGCTCGGGACCCTGACCGCAGCCGGCGGCGGCCAATCACAGGGCGCCGCGGGCGGGAAAGGCTAGAGGGCGCGGGCAGCCAGGGAATGACGGCGCCAAGAGCCAATGGGAAGCCATAATGGGAGTCCGAGCCCGCCCCGCTGACCAATGGGAATGGGGTGGCTGTAGCCGAAGTCCCTCCAGGCGCAAGCTGCAGGCTCCGCTGGCTGCGGGTGGGAGACCCTCGGGCTGAAGGGGACTTTGGAGGGGAGTTTGCTGGCCCTGTCTCTGCCACCCGCTGGCCCGCAGACCACAGCCCGGTCCTCACCTGCTGGAAGCGAGGTTTGCCCAGTTGGAAAGGAGGTGCATCGCTCGAGGCGCTAGCGGCACTAGCTGCCGCTACCGGTGCTGTAGTCGCTGTATCCGCCATGGCCACTGACGCCCGCAATCTCCGGCCCTTTTAAAATGTCCCTCCTCGGCCCCCGCCACAGCTGCCTCTCCCGATTGGCCCTAAGCAACCGCAGCGAGAGATGCGCAAGGGGTTGTGGGGAGTGTAGTTTTGCGCGTCATGGCGCTTACCACCCTAGACTGCGGAGTTGCGACCGAACGGAGAGGTCTCGATGCGCGCCGTCCGCATTGCAAGGTGCAAGGTCGGCAGCCCAGAAATGGTGTTCGTGTCGTCGGGGACCACGGGCCACCCCTCGCTGCTTACCTGCCCCCAGAAGTTAAAGTTGCTGCCGTGGCCGTCGCTCCCGAGGCCAGGCAGCCCAGTAGAGTCCCATTCGAGCGGGCCCGACCTGGGACCAGATGGGTAAAGACTCCAGGCGGAGTAGGGTTAACCTCAGAAAGCTCTCTGCAGGGTGTTGCACTGCGGAACCTTCTCTTAGTTTTCTCCATCGCCACCCTGCCTACTCGCCTGTGCTCTCCAGCGGCCCTAACTCTCAGTTCCTGGAGCATGCTGGGGCCTGCCCCTCCCCCTCCGACCCCTAAACATTCTGTACCCAGAAGACTAAATCTTCGCCTGATGCTGGCTCTTTCTAGCTTCAGCCTAAACATTGCATTTCCCAGTCCATCACTCTCCTTCCACAAAATCCCATACTGGTTCCATGGCACCCAGCACTTATCTTTTGCATTCACGATTACTTACTGTTTTAGACAGTCTTTCTTACTGTAAGGTTTACAGGGCAGGGACTGTGATTTTATAATTCACTTAAGTCTTCAGAACCAGACATAAGAGGGCTCACAGTACAGACTCAAATATGTGTTGGCTGTGAGTTCATCAGTGGGGACTTAAGGGCCCTGGCAGCCTTCACCTTCTCTGGCAAACCAAGGAAGATCCTTCCTGGGCCTAATTCATGGGCAGGAGAACTTGGGACTGGTGGGTGGGGAGGGCGTTAGGTAAGGGGGAGTACTACAGATTGTGGAGTAAGCACCAGCATGGATAATAAACACACACAGTTGCAGAATGGATTAACTGAATATTCCCAGCTGAATTACCTGATCAGTGGCCCAGGCTGGGGGAGTTAGGGAGCTGTCTGTTTTACCCAAGATGACAGTAGAAATATTTGATCTTGACTCTAGGGAACCCTACTTTGGGTCTCAGTCTCATGGTAACGTGCAGAGTTGGCTCATGTCTGCCAGTGTTTCTGGACACTGCATGAGCTGTAGCAAAGTTTTTCATCCTCTAGTAGTTGAACCACAAGAAACTGTTTTCATAAACCTGGAGGGAGAGTCTAGCTAGCTATGAAGAACAATTTGTATCTTAGATTTCTGTCTTATATTCCCCCGTTAGACCATGCAACTTGAGAATAGGAATCTATTTCTTACCCTCTGTATTACCAATAAATGGGCCCATCTTAAGTGCCCAATAAATGTGGGTATCCTGGGAGTGAGAAAAGACTCAGTTCAGGCTACTGGGCAACACTGTGCTGCTGCCCCCTGATGTCAGGGCAAGGACAGTGTCATCCAAGAATCCCATCACCTGGATTTAAGGTGCCTTCTCCCATTGCAGCCTCCTGTACCTGTTCTTTCCAAAACAGGAACACAAGAGCCACCTGCAGTACATGAATGTTTTATTCTTCATAAAGTGCTTAAAACATGAAGAACAAGCTCTTTATAAACAGGAATTACAACTAGGAAGACAAACAGCAAAGCAGAACCATGCCTGCTCCCTGCCCACTCTCCTCCAAGTGTGGCTAGAAGAAACATCAACAAGGACCCTGGGCTTCGATTCAAAAACTCCTCTGAAGACATCCGTGCCCTGGGCATTAGGGAGGCCCACAATCAAAGGTCAGGGCCAGGAATGGGACTGAATAAAGCCCAGATGAATACCCAGTAGGGGGGTGACTCCCCATCTCTCAGAAAAGATACTTACTTCTCTAATGCCCAATGACCCCCAAAAAGCATGACTGAAGCCCTGGGGACTAGTGGACACTTTTCTCAGCTCTGATGAGTGGAGTTTAAAGTAGGTAGCATTACAGGGGCTTTCCTCCATGTGTGGCGCTCCTGTGCTCCATCCTTGTGGCAGACAGACATCACCCAGAGGGCTTGTGTTTGCCCAAGGCCTTCCAAGCAAGCCCGCTGGCCCTCTCCTGAAGAAGCGGTGGTCGCAGAGCTCTTGCCTCCTCACTAGGCCATAAGTATCCTCCTTCAGTACCTCATCACCCCCCATTTTTGCTAATTCAGGGTGGCCCAAGCCGCCATGTTTCCTTACAGATGCCTTGGGGAAGCCTGCCCTATTTTCTACAAGCAAACTAGGGGCTGGGCCAAAGGACAGACACTTCATTTCAAAGTGCACTGCAGCCAAGCCAGGCAAGGTCCTAGGACAGAAGGACAGGCTGGGACAGCAGCTTAGTGGATGGATAGGAGGGCAACAGAGGCTTTTTCCTAAGTATAGGTGTCTCCCAAAGGTATAGTGGGACCTCCCACTTACAGGCAAGCTGACTGGTCTAGCATGGCTAAGTTCTGAGGCCAGACAAAATAAGAGTCACCAGGGCAGCCCTAGGCCTGCCTGCCCACTTGCCCAGCAGTTTTCATCCTGGGATCCTCCTGTTGGGGTTGAGGGACAGGAAGATGGCAGGAAGGTTGAGGGAGCAGTAACTTGGCCAGACCAAGAGATTAACTCTAGAAGAGGGGAAGAGCACACAGCAGGGCCACCCATTCTCATTCCCAGGGCCCTGAGAGAACCATCCCTATGTATTCAATAGGTGGGAGGGGGACGCCACACAGCGGGAGAGGTCAACATCCAGGTGCTCTTGACCCTGCCCACAAAAGGCACATTTTAATTGGTTTCCAAAAGTTCAAACCCTGCAGCAACACAGAGTTTTGGCATCTGGACAGGCAACAAGAATAGACACGGAGGCTTGATCCCCAAAACATAAGCAGCCCCAAACCCCAGCCTGGAGGGGCCTATATGTTGGAGGTGGGCAAGAGCTTGAAAAGCAAGGAGGAGCTCTCCCTGCACCTGCCCCTGCACCACACACATTCCCATGTGACACCTGTGGAAGGTCAGAGGGGGTAGGGAGCAGCCTCAAGAACACGCATCATCTACCTCTGTCCACATGGCACTCGCCCGACAGACAGCTCGAGACTGAGACAGACTCAGGACATGGCAGAGACTGGTCCCGATCACACTGGCTCCTTGCCCTCAGGGGAATGGGTGTGAGGCTGAAGAGCAGGCACCCTGGTTGCCCATAACTCACAAACAGGCAGCATGGTCCTTGTCCCAGTAATACCAGAAGCCCCTCCAGAGACTGGAGGAAAATGAAGGGGATGAGGGTTTGGCTGTGGGAAGAAATGGCTGACTATCCTTGCGGCGTAATAAAGTATGTGCTAGCAACCTGTCTTGTCCCAGATACCGCATCAAGATACAGCTCACCCCTGCTCTGTCTTGGGGGGAAGAGTTCCAAAATAGGCAGGTGGGAAAGACCTGGGGCTCCCAAAGACAAGCAAGTAGTGCACAGAACCTGATGCCTCCAGAGGGAATCCAGAATGCCTCCCTTCCAGCAGCCCCAGTCGAGGCAGGAGAGACGGGGGCCAGGAGTGACGAGGCGGGACAGATGATGCCCCGCCGCAGGTAAGAGTTCAGCAGGAGGGAGGGCAGGCGGCAGCAGGTCCACGCCAACCCTCCTGGGGGTGGGGTGAGGAAGGCTATTTGGGGGGGTCCGGGGGGATCTGCAGCAGCGTGGGTGAGGTCTCCATGATCCGCACCAGAAGCCGGTCAATGTAGCTCTCCAGCTCCTGCACATGCTCGTCCCGCTGGCTCAGCTCCTGCTCCCGCTGCAGGAGCAGGCTGATGAGCTCATCATGGGTCAGGTGGTAGTACTTGGCTGACTGGTCCAGCACAGCTGAGTCCTGTGGCCAGACCAAAGACAGTGAGCAGGGCATCTCCAGGCCTGCCTGCCTGTCTGCCCACCTGCCTGTCTGCCCGCCTGCCTGCCCACCAACACCTAAGTTTCACCACCACAGGGCCCTGGGCTGCCTGTCTCCAATGCCAGAGATGGCCTAACTGGCTTCAGGACTCTGGTGTGGGCGACCTGGCCTACTCACTGCCCCACCCTCCCCAGGACCAAGCCCTGAGACTCTACCACACATTCTGTCAGATGCCCCCCACACCCTGCTGGGCCTTACCTTCAGCCTCTTGGTGTCCACCGTCTGGCCAGCCTGGGGGGCCTGAGTCACAGGCTGAATGCTCCCAGATGTGACTGTTTTGAGCTTCTCCAGCCCACTACTCAGGGCTGTGCTCAGACTAGAGCGGGACTGCTTCCTGTCGGGGCTGCCCTCCACAGCAGCGGCACTGAGGGGCTTCACAGGGTGGGGACTGCAAAGACATACAAGAGATGGGTTAAGTGGAGAGAAGGGTGGCACGGATCAAAGGTGGGGCTGCCTTCCCTTGGGAGCCTCCAGGTCCGCTGGGCAAAAAGCCCAGCACTGGGTGGTGGCTGCCCCTGCAAAGTCAAGGTCTCAGGCAGCCGTGTCCAGTACTCCTGGGCTATACTGCAACCCGTGTCCAGCAACCCCCTGGGCTGGCCTCAATCCCCACCCCACCATCTGCTCCCTCCCCATTTCACTCCCTTATTCACCTGGTGATCTGGCCCCTTTACGGGGACAGCAGAGGCCATGCTACAGACTCCTCTGCACCTGCACACAGCCTCTGTCAGTGATGCCCTCCTCTAGCCATCTTCCCTCCATCCTCTTCTATACTGTAACCTTTCTCTACTGTGGTGACCAACCCTCCCAAGTTCCCAGTTTTCCCAGGACTGTGAGAATTCCCAGAACATGAGACTCTGAGTGCTAAAACCTGGGCAAACCGGGACACTTTGTCACCCAGCTCTCTCTATGGGTTGCTTCCCATCGGCGTTTCCACAGCTCTGCAAAACCCTCCCTTGACCTTGTATTTGCTCTATCACTCCCAGTCACCTTCCCCTTTCTTCTCACCCAAGCCTCTCTGCAGCATGGAGACTACATTTATCTAACTTCTTACCTTTTATCGACTCCTTAACCCATTAGAACAGGACATCAGTCCCTACCAGCCCACCACAAGTGGACTTGCTGAGGTCACCAAGCCCTGCTGGCTCTCACCTCACTGACCTCTGTGGAGTCAACACTTGGACCACTCCTTCCTTTAGGCTGCTCGCTTCCCCTTCCCTTAAGGCCTCCATCTCGTCTTCTGACCCCACAGCCCCTTCTCAGTCTTAACAACTGCTAGTCTGCCCTTGGGTTCTCTATTCTCCTCCCTGGCTCCTATGACCCCCTAATCTCCATCTCTACCCCAGACCACACGCCCTGGACCCTAGACCTGCAGAGTCAGGTGCATCCCACTCCCTGCCACCTCCTCTGTGCTGCCCCAGCAGTGAGGAGCACCTCTGGCCTCCCCTGGCTCAGGTCAGAAAGTCAGAAGCCTGGGAGTCCCTCTGGCTCTTCCTCTTCAGCCTCAACCTTAACAATCAAGCTCTG